GCCAACCGAGCCCCGACCGGTAGGCCCCGACCAGTCCGACGGTCGGCTGGTCGGCCCCCGACCAATCCAGGGGCGCCGACCGTTGGCATGACTACTCTGGATATATATACATATATATTGTCTATATCTCGGCTACCAAAGTGGCCCGGGACATCTTGCCCGGCCGGGGCAAAAAAAACTACAAAAAAAATAATAAAAAGATCGATGTAAGTTCATGTAACACTTACCCAGCTTGTTGTCTGAGAGATCCAACATCGTCAACTCTTCAGACGCAGCTAACGCTGACAGCAGAGGTCGCACCTCTGTGTCTGTTAACCTGCATTGTGACACATTTACTTCTTCTTCTGATCCCTGCAACAGGAAACAAATGTTCGGGAACACAAGTTACATTGCAGAGGATGAGTTCTCTATCATCTGGGCCACTCCAAGAAAAAAGGGAAAATGAACTGAAAAGAAGATGAAAAAGGAAAAAGCAAACCTGTCCTTGAACAATTGACTTCCACTATCTGTGAGGGACGCTGGACCCGATTTCCAGCAGGTGCTGCTCCGCACCAATAGATGGGGAGCTCTCTTGTTCAAAAAGAAAAGAAGAGAGAGAGAGCAAGAAAAAAGAAAAAAGCAAAGCCTGGAAGTCCACATGGGCTGTCCTTCGGGACATCCGTTAAAAAAAGTGGAACGATACAGTGAAGACTAGCATGCCCCCTGTGCAAAGATGACATGCACAAATCATGGGGAAAAGACAACCCATCATCACTCAAGCCAGTGAAACGCCACAAAATTAACAGGTAAGAGATATACGAGAGTGCTGACTGGAATCACGTCAGGAGTCAGGACTCAGTAGTAGATTTTCTGATTTAGTGAAGGGGTGAAAGACACTCTCAAGGTTCCGACTCAAAGTTCCGACTTGTATCACAAATCTGCGAATCAATCATGTAACCGCCGGCACAAAGTTCCGACTTGTATCACAACTAAGGGATGGTCCCACCTCCCAAGGGAAGGAGTCAATGGTGTCAGGGATCCCCGGGCCGTACCGTAGGGAAGAGTCCAGTGGGTACGATGACTTATTTTGCAGCGACGCTGGACCCGGTTTCCAGCAGGGCCTGCTCCCCACCAATAGAAAGGAGCCGCGGAGCGTTCTTTTTACAAAAACATCCTGTGAAAACCTGCGGTCCCCTGGTGGTCCAGTCCATTCGTGGGGAGCTTCACCTGCTGGAAAACGGGTCCAGCGTCCCATGCATACAACAAGTCCTGAGTTACGTCTGCGAGCTTTACCCTGTTCCACTTCCACTGATGAGAAATAGAGTCCTGAGAACTAGCAACTTAGTCCGTGGACTGTCTGAGAAGAGCATCGAAGCTGGCCTAGGTTCCGGGGTGATCCAATAGAAAGGAGCGTAATAGCGTATATAGTATATATACTATATACTATATTTCAAAAAAAGAAAGGAAAAAAAGGGATGATCACACAGGCATGTCAGACAAATGGAACCCACTTTCATAATACACTGGAGAATTTGCCGATCGAAAAAGGAAACGATAGTGCACACAGCCTTGTGAATGAACCACCTACCTCAGTTCTCTTCAGCTTCTCCAACAGCGTTTGGTTAAGTGGGACATTTTGCTCCATGCAGCGGGCAACATATCGATCGGCAATAGGAAGTCTCTCCCACCCTACAACAGCATCACAATTTACAAAACAAATAAAGATTGAAGGATAATTCTTGTCGGGAGCTCATGAATTTCTTCTTTTTCGTTTAACTGGAACACGTTTTCTCTGATGGAGGGCATTTTGTGTACATAAGGGGGCCACAGCGGGGCTACGCTTACTGCCGTCTTCACCCGAATAGAACGCCCGGTCATTATAGCTGTATCTGGACTGAAAATTGCACCAGATACGGCTATAATGACCGGGCATTCTATTCGGGTGAAGACGGTAGCCCAATCAAGCAAGATAAAAAAAAACAGGAGTAGCCCCCTATAAAATAGCTTGAGGAAGGCATGAAGTGTTGATTACCTCCCGAGCGAAACACCTGAGCTTCCAGTCCCCTGGAAGCTCACAGTGAGTAGTGGTTAAACCACAGTACCTTTGGCCCTGGGCTTCATTTCCTGATGCTTCGTTTACTGATGCTTCATTTCCTAAAGCTTCGGTTCCTGTTGCTTCATTTCCTGATGCTTCATTTTGTCTGCCCCAGGACTACCGGACCGTTGTCCTGGTCCGGCCTGATGGTGACAGCCTTATGCATCAAATTTGCACAAGAGACATGTACTCTATGAGTCTACAAAAACTCTACATCATAGTTGCGGCGCATCTAGGTACGCGCCTCCGCGCATGAGTCGCTCATGTCACGCACCCAATGCGGCGCACTGCAATAAATAGGGTTCCCCCCCCCAAAAAAAAACACGAGGGCTCTAGAGTTCTGTACCCCCCTCCCCCCCCGCCTGGCAGAAACGGAAAAGAGGCCGCGTCAAATGCGAAACCGGACCCGCCTGGGCCCCAAAGTTTTCTTTGGGGGAAACATCTGCAGAATTCGAATTCGAATTCTGCAGGCCTTTCCCCCCCAAAAAAAAAATATTTGGGGCAGGGGCGGGGCCAGTTTCACACTTGGCTCGGTGTCTTTGTGTGCAGCTAGGGAAACTCTCGGCGGACGTACGACTGCGACGACAAGGGAAGACGGCGAGGGACGCCAAAGGAGGGAGGAGGGCTACTTTTTCTGGGAAGGAGGGCGGACGACGACAAGGGAAGGAGGGACGATGACGACAAGGGAAGACGACGACGAACGACGATGAGGACGACAAAGGAGGGAGGAGGGACGACAAAGGACGGAAGACGAGGGTCAACTAAGGAGGAAGGGCCAGGGAGGACGACGACGAGGAGGGAAGAGGGAGGAAAGATGAGAGCGGGGCGGTGAGGGTGGGGCACAGCAGGAGGAGAAGCGGGGAGGAAGATGTGGAACAGGCGGAGTCGGGTGCACCGGTTGTTCTCTTTTCATTGACAGACCGAACAATTCGAATTTCGAACTTTTGATATAAGTTTTTGTCATTTTTTCTGTTGTGTTCCTCGTTCTTTGCTGTGTGTGCTACATCACCGATTGTTTCCTGTGCTTTTGTGATGCTGTGTCGCCGCTCGATTGCATGGATGCATCAAATGCTGTGACTGCTGTGTCTTCGCACTCCGAATGCAGGTGAGTGTTACATCCCCCCTTCAACCCCTCTAATTTCCAAAAAAAAAAAAGAGAACAGGAAGAAAGTACAAGAAACTTCAAGAACTAGATGGACCTTCGCAGGATAAAGTCCAATAAACCAATACACAGGCCACCCCTGCGCAGGGCCATTTTGCAATTGGCACACTGGGCGCACAGGCCCCAAAGCCCAGTGCACCAAGCGCACCGTGCGCGCTCTGGGAAATGTGCGCACAGCGCACCGCATCAGGGCATCGCAAGTATGCTCTACAATGTCTATGTCTACATCCATTACTTTTAAATTTTAACTTTCTTTTTTTTTTTATTGATGGCGATCAGGCCCAAGCGGGCTAGCTCAATTGGTTGAGCACGTGAGTGGCACTCAGGAGGCTGTGGGTTCGGTTTCGATACCCAACGTCGTCCTTTCGATCCCCTCGGCCTCCTGGGGTATGCTTCGGATTCACCAGCGGAGATTGTTGGCTTCATCCTCCCAGCTGGTTGTGGAAGGTAATCAATTATTTCCAGCCAGCGCCGGGCGTTAGGAGCTTGGGAACTGCTCCCTGCAAAGAGCAGAGATAGGTTGAGGTAGAACCATAACATTAGGATAGCCCAGCTTTGCCCAGTCAATTTAGGCTCCATGCCCCTAGGATAACTGTAGGTGGTCCGTAGCTGGTACACTTAGGGGGGTAGTGTAGTTTGCCTATTGCTTCTTCAGGGATAGAGGTAGAACCATAACATTAGGATAGCCCAGCTTTGCCCAGTCAATTTAGGCTCGATGCCTCTAGGATAACTGTAGGTGGTTCTTAGCTGGTACACTTAGGGGGGTAGTATAGTTTGCCTATTGCTTCTTCAGGGATAGTTGTGGCCCATTAGGTAGGTAGCTAGGGTGAGATAGACACAATATTGAGAGAAGAAAAAAGGGTAGCAAAAAAAAAAAAATTGATGGCAATCAGAGCAAAAAATCCCCAAAGTGGGGTCAGCCAAAATTTTGTGCTCATTTAAGACAAACATCCTGCATGATTGGTCTTATACGGTAGCTGTGACTTGCCATGATTCATTATTGATCAGTCGATCCATCTCGCCACTGGCATATCTATACATCAGAAAAAAGGAAGGTCCTCCCCACTCCCTGGGGCCACCCACCTCCGGTAGGCCCAAACAGACTTTAACCCCATGTTAAACGGCGTGGTGCCATCGATAGCTGAGCCAGCTGGGCAGGTACAGGTGGTTTAAATCCCCAATGGCCCCAACGAGTAGCGGTTGATGCACAAGTGTACACAGGTTGTGGATTGAACCACCAGCTGCCTGAACCACCCGCAAAAATAAAAGTCTTAGGGTCAGTCAAAGTCCGTAGAGACCTAGGGTAGGTTCTGAGGGATCTTCTCAGCCCATTTGCGGTACCCCTACTGAGCCAGCCAGGCCCGGTTTCGGGCATCCCAGATCTGAGAAGGTCAAGAGCCCATGCCCGGTCCGAGCACGTGAGAAGAAGAGTTAAAGAATCCTACTAGAGCAGTCAATTTTGGCACAGATCACACGCACATCCAACGGTGCAGATAAGGTTACTGAATGAATGCAGTGCCTTCTGGGTGGCATGTTGTGCCAGCCCAGGAGCAGCTGCCTCAGCCAGCTGCTGGGGGGCGCAGTCTTCGTCAAAGCAATATACATCCACTTCCTGTCTATCCCCAACACCTTCTGCCTTGCGATCATACCAGCGCTGAAGTAGTGCACCATGCTGCCCTGCTGCCTCCAGAGAGAGCGAAGAAAGTGTTTGGGCGGGCAGCCGTAGCTAGTTGTGGTGGGCAAGCAACCATAACTAGGGGTGGAGTAGGGGGAAATTGGGAGACTCTGGACAGAGAGAAGAGGTGGACGGACTGGCATTCTCCACTGAAGTGGCATGTTGTGCCAGCCCAGGAGCAGCTGCCTCAGCCAGCTGCTGGGGGGCGCAGTCTTCGTCAAAGCAATATACATCCACTTCCTGTCTATCCCCAACACCTTCTGCCTTGCGATCATACCAGCGCTGAAGTAGTGCACCATGCTGCCCTGCTGCCTCCAGAGAGAGCGAAGAAAGTGTTTGGGCGGGCAGCCGTAGCTAGTTGTGGTGGGCAAGCAACCATAACTAGGGGTGGAGTAGGGGGAAATTGGGAGACTCTGAACAGAGAGAAGAGGTGGAGGGACTGGCATTCTCCACTGAAGAATTCATTCTTTTGGCAACGGGCCGCTGGGAAGTCTTCTGTGGAGAGAGAGTAGATTGAGGTTGGATGGGCTAGAGAGAAGGGTCTCTGCTGGAAAGAAGACTCTGCCATAGCCAGGGTTGATGGGAAGTGGCGGTTGAGGGAGCAGATACCCGGAAGAAGTGGCAACAGACTGGAGGACATTGAGACCCTTGTTATTGTACATATATTAGTCCCTCACCACCCCCATCTCCTCCACGGTCTCGCTTGCAAACAAACTCCGTTTCCATTCTTCCCATTGTTCCACCTTCGTTGCCAGGGACATGTTCATCTTCTGTTTGCAACACCACTACTACTCTTATTGTGTATCGCCGATGACATGCGCGGCATAGTCACTTGTCTGGGGATCAGCAGCCTGTTTCTTTGTCTGCCCCAATTCTCTCTGTGCCTGCCCCGCAGGTTGTTGCAGTTCCTCTGTTCAAACGCAATATCCGGTCCTATGCCTCCTGTAGATAGTCCAGCTGTCTGCAGGCAGCCACAGCACCATGTTTTATGCCCTTCAGCGTTCGATATGCACGACTCGCCTGTACAACAGGATGTGGTCCCTGCCCAGATTACACTCCCGATTCCAGGGACAGTTAGTACTCAGGATGCGGCCCCAAACATTGAGGGATTGGAACATGATCTGTGAGGATTGCAGTTAACCCCACAAGGCGTAGACGACATGGGGGATTTGCAAATAGCTCACCAGCATCGTTTGGATGAACTACAATTTTGTGCCCCACCACGCGCAGACCACATGGGTGATCTGCAAATGACCGACCAGCAAGCAACCCAAGACATTTTGGGCTTGCAACACCATCTGGGTGATCTGCAATTTGTTGGCCAGCATCCGGCACACCAGCCTGAGATCCTCACCAATCTCTGTGGTCTGACTGCAACTAATATCTGTCTTCACATTCTCCACCACCCGTTTTATACACCATCAGACTTCCTTGCAATCACCCTTCAGCTTGATGCTGATCTCCCCCGCCTACAGCCAGAGGATCGTAAAATTATACCAGGGAATGAGGCTTTATCATTGCTGTCTTCAGTTTGATGCTGATCTCCCCCGCCTACAAAATCATACCAGGGAATGAGGCTTTATCATTGCTGTCCTCCAAGTAGCAATGAGGGACCGCCAACTTGAACTACGCAATGCTCGAGCAGGTGAGTGGTTTAAGCCTCCATCCCACATCTCTGCCTGCATTGTGCACGGACCTGGCCATTACATGGCCATTGTACATACCTCTGACCACTGGGAGTTTTGGGACAACGGCATCATCTTGTGCATTGCGGGCAGCTCACGCTCAAATTCGTCAGCGTGGCGAGCCTTGTACACGAGAGGCATGGAAAAGGGGGAGTTAAAAGAAGAATGAGAAAAAGAAACGATTTCAGTATGCTCCTCATCTTTGTCTTGTTTTTTAATCTTTCCCGTTTGTTTCGCAAAGTGCGCTCTTTTAGTTCATAGTTATGTGACAATATATATTAGTAAAGACGTGAAAGAGTTATTCAACTTATCCTTTTCGTTCCAGACTTCCAGTTCATTCTCTTCGCTCTTATGAGCGGGGCCATTCAGTGCTTCTATTGATGAATGGTTTGAACTTCGAAGGCTTGGTTGGCATTGCTTTGGACGCGATTAAGGTTCTATTACATTGCATAGTATATGAAGATGTATAAATCAGTGATTTGGGACTAAAAAAAGATCTGATCAATTGAGCAAGTTGAGAAAGCACGCTGGACGCTAACCAGACTTCTGAGGCCTGTAAGCCCTCAATACTGTTGCTGTGACAAAACAGCCAATTCCTCTTCATGCCAGAGAAGAGAGGAGGAGCTTCCTTGCCTTTTACTTTTCATGGAAGGCACAGGAGCAGCACGATCGTTCTCTCACCTTCAACCACAGCCTCCAGAGGCTCATCACGCCCGGCCCCCTGCAGTGCCTCCTCCACAATTTGTGATGATTTCAGCATGATCCCTCTGAGCCGCATTCCTCGCAACACAGGTCTCCGGTTGCCTGCTCAAACCAAAAATAAAAGAGATACAGAATTCAACGAGACTTGGACTCAGAATCGACAATGAAAAGGAAATTTCAAGTTTTGACATAGTTGACTTGCAAAGGGCAACGTGACAACGGTCCAAGGACTACGCATCAGACGGAAGGACTGGCACAGTTCTGGGTCGTCAGCGGCAAGACACGCCAGCCTTCAGCAAGACGATACCCAAAATCACATATACAAGGAAAATGAGCGAGAGCCAGGGTAGTTTGGCGCCTGCCGCCGTTGCCTACCGTAGGCGATAGGCATGCCTACCAATCGGGCTGACCCATAGGCGGTCGGCAGACTGCCTTGCAATTTTTTATTTTTTTTTGTGATTACATGGCCGTGCACGGCTTGAGGAGAATAGCCCAAATCCGCAATAATGGTGGGGGTTATAGGGGGAGGTAGGGGGGGTTGTAGGGGGTTGTAGGGGGGTTAGGGGGGGGTAATGAGGGTGTTAGGGGGCGGTATGGGGGTGTTGGGGGGGTGCATGGGGGTGTTGGAGGGGGGTATGAGGGTGTGGATGGGGTTATTTGGGGCTCTGGGCCCAACAAAAAAAAAAAATAATAAAAAAATCACCAACCGGTTGGAGCCGACGGCGCCTACCATCAGCTGGTCGGCAGCCGACGGGTCCAGGGCCGCCGACCAGCGGCGTGACTACCCTGTCGAGAGCAATATACAGAAATGCAAATTGCATAATCACGAAGTAGCCCAGATAGTCGTAGACCAAGCAGAATTGCACAATGAGCTCCAATGTCGACGTCGACACTCTCGCCACATCAACATAGAATCAATGTCTCTCTTCCTGATTGGCGCTCAGTGCCCAGCCTATCCTACTCAGCCTACTCTTGCCTACAGTACGTTCAGGCAACAGGATTCACTTCGAGGCTGAAGACCGATGTACCTGATGACGTCGCCCATGCAGACTGCCAGCATACACCAGGTAAGTATCTCTCCGCTCTCACCTCACCCCTCGACTTCCCACAGTGTGCATCCCCGACAACCGAAGAGCACCATCGCCAACACCCCCTCTACGCCTAGCAGCCCAGCTATGGCTGCCTAGCGCCCGCTGCCTCAGCAGCGCTCCTCACCTCTCAGTCCCTGTGTGCCCTGGCCAGCCAGCACCTGAGCAGAGCGCTCGCTCTGCGCTGCCACCCAGAATGTCCCTCGCTGCTGGGTGCTCACTTTCCTTTACGGAAAGTGAGTCGTGCCCTGGCTGGCTTGGGCCTGGCGTGGAGTGCCCAGTAGCTTCACGTTGGGCCACAGGATCTGCGCATAGGCTCGTGCAGACCCTGGCCTGGGCCCGCAGCAGTTAGGCACGCCCAACTACCCAGACTATGTGTGTTGTGCTTGCTGCTAGAGCGCTGCTTCCACGTCCAAGCCCCAGAGAAGCCTGAAAGCTTCCTCGAATATTCTGATTCTCACGAGCGCCCAGTAACTGTCCGGAGCCCAACAACACAAAAATGGCAAGTTTGGCAGACATGGGGCGCCCATACTGAATATCAGGCCCGCCTTCACTTAGGGCGGGCAACAACGCTTGCAGGGGACCCCTTGGGCATTTCTGAGGCCGCAGCCACGTGGCCATTGTGAGGGTAAGTCCTCGCACATACGGTACGGAATGAAAACCGGAGGATAGCATTCGATTTCATTCCTGGTTCTCTCTCTTTATGACAAAAGAAAAAATGCAGGGTAGAATCTACCAGGGGTGGGCATAAATATGGCGCGCTGACAGTCAATCATCCACTTATGGAGAAATCAATGCTGATCAGGGGTCCCTCGGTCAGACGGAAGGAAGCGCGAGTCAGTGGTATTGTAAAATCTTCACTTCCCAGTGGAGAAGGAACAGGACTGATGATGCTCTCCAGAATGGATATCGACTCATTATGGTGCCAGGACCATAAGGACCTGTTTCGTAAATACCAAAAAAAGAGATGCAGAATATAAAGGTTCAAAAAAAAAGAAAGGAAGGAAGGAAGGAAGGAAGGAAGAGAGTGCACAAACTGTTTTCACTTCCAAGACAACAGCGAGGTGTGGTTTCGATCACAGTGGAAGAGCAGCTTGGGTCGACAGCGTAGCTTTGGGTTCTTCAGCAGATAAAGTTGATAAACACACACCAGCCCAGGCAGGCGTGAGAGGTGGCATATCCTCCCCTAAGGAAACAGAGCTTTGGAATTGATAGGAGTCCCGTGTCCTTAGTAGTTCATCAGTTGCATCTCTTTGTGTTCATCCAGTTTCTCAGTTTGTCTGGAGTTTATTTTGCTATTGGGACACTGGGCCCAGTTTCCAGCTTCAAGCTGAATCTGGGTAAAGGCCCCAGCACGCCGGGTTGAGATGTCGAGGGACTCCCAGCCTCCTTGAGTTGTTTAAATACAAAGCAAACTTCATCAAAAAAAAAAAAAAAAAAAAAAAAAGGTGCACAAACAGCACAGAAACAATGGACAAACCCTCTCAGCACACCAACACAATGAAAATGTTTTACTTGCAACCAACAGAGAGTGATAATAGTTTCATACTGGAGCATCCAGATTTCATCAGATACACGTTGAGGCGGAATGATTCACCTGCAAGCTAACTGGCAAGGGTAAAGAAGCGCAACTCTAATGCATGCAGGTTCACCAGCAAACTTTTCCTTAGACAATGTGTGCGATCACTCTGGTGAAAGCAGGTTTAATCACTGTGATAATTAACTTTAATCTAAACTGAGGGGGTCAAAGCAGGAGGTTTACAAGAGAGTAAAACAAAGTTTCCAGATATTATACCTTGAGAAACGACATCATTACGAGGGCCCAAGGGGCAAAAAAGGAAATGACTACAGGAGGAGACAGACACCAGTGCAGCTCATGGGCAAAACAAGAGGAGTGCAAGGGCCCACGTGTTGCACAGGCATAGGTCAGAGCGCGCAGGAGCGCGCAGGATCACTCTGCCAACCAGCCGAGCAGGGCACAGAGCATTTGACAGGAAGAGGACGAGTAAGTTAGACGAAAGAGCAGGCCCAGCAGGGGAAAGAAGACAAGCAAAGAGGACAAGAGGACAAATAAATGAAGGGTTGGAGTGAGCAGGCAGGTGATCTGGACTCGGAAGACCTGGACTCTAACGATTTTTGCATGAAGCTGCAAAACACACAAGGCTAAGCGAAGTGAAACCGCCAGTTTCAACTCCAAAAGAAGTGATGCATGAAGTCACAATTCAGCAACATGAATGTGTTCATGGGCATAGGGCAGGTAAATTTGTCAGGATACAGTTAGGAAAAGCAGAACACATGCGGTTCGTTATTCCTGTCCTGCAGTTGGCCCCGGGGCATTCTGTTCAAGGGAAGAAAAAAGGGAGGATCGGAGCAACGGCAAAAAGCACAACTGAGGGTTCAGACTCTTCAGACAATTCACTGTTGAAATACAGACCCAAGTTCGAATCCAGACACAATCAGATGACCAGAATACAATCATTAAAAAAAATAAAATACAAAGGATTGCCATGAAAAAAAAATTCAAGCCGGCACATGGTGGATCTCAACTGCTGAAGCCGTCAAAAAAACAAAAAGAAAAAGAGCAAAGAAAAGAAGCTTAAAGAACTTAAGTCATTGCAGGACAAGATAGGTGTCAGGAGGGATGGAGGTGGAAAGTAGGTGTACTCTCACACGTGCCGTTGGCAAAGTTGAAAGTTGCAAGCCTAACAGTTTCCTCCATCAGCCAACCAATCGTCTTTGGGGAGTTGCCTTTGTCCATCGCAGCATCCACACAGACTTCCAGATCATGCCCATCAAGGCTAACTCTCACCGTCTCTGTGCTGACCTGCAAGTAAAGCATGTTTGCCAAACAGCAAGTGACTATTGGGGCGTACTCACACTGAGAATATCGCATTTAAGGCCTTGATCTGGACGCATCTGACCGCAATTGCGTCCAGAAATAACTAAAGAAGTCCTTGTGTGAGTATGCCCTTAGATCCCAAAAGTAACGAGGGTCCGTCACAGAGACAGACACTCCGGATTTTCCCTTTCTGTCTCTAACCCTGCAATGGTTTGCCGGTCAGTATTGGAGCACCCATGGTCGACCCTGTTACTGACGGCCATTCTCCACACATTTCATGCTGGCAGTTTTCTTGTGTGCACAACGTATATTATGGCTGTGGAAGACCTTTCTTTGTTTTCACAGGGTGCTTTTTCTGGCTGCTGAGGCTGGTGTGAGCCGACAGTCACTGCAGTGTTTGGTTTTTTTTTTCTTTTTTTTAATCACATTGTATTGCTTAAAAAGTGACAAATTGAGACCAGTGACCTCACAATTCGACCCGGAGATATCCTGGGAGCCTTACCCAGTTTAGCTTACGACCATCCGCTTGCCAACTTCTGTTTGCCTTTTTTTTTTTTTTTTTTTTTCCATCTCCTAGGAGAACTATACATCTCCTTGTGTACTCCTCTAAGCTATTCCAGCTGTCAGCTATTCCTGAAGGTCTGGAGCATCCAGATTGTCCCTGGGCTGGCTCTGTCTCCCTAGATAACCATGTTTGTGACACTAAAAGGCTACCAATCGATCGTCCAAACCACTCCAGTCAACCTTTGGTCTGCCGCTTTCTCTGTGACATACCTTGTTACTCCCCAGATACTGAACCCTGTGCTTCCGCAGAAGTTTTAGGCGATACTGCACTGTTTCCTTTTTTTCACTTTTCTAAGTTTTCTTCGTTTTTCCCTGTCTTTTAGCAGCCTGTCGGATATTGCACCTGGTGTGTGTCGGAGACATTGGTTTCGGTTTCAGGCAGATTATGGGAGTCAGCGTCAGTCGGAGGATATACAGGCGGTTGAGGGTTCGACCTCTTGGCTATGTGGTGAAAGTGCGACCGATATTTGTCCTTATTCACCGTTTCCCCGAAGGTTCACCGGGCGGTTATCTGTGACAATAAACAGATATAAACTTATGGAGTATTAAAAGTAAATAAGTAAACAACTCCATGACACAAATTAAGCTGGCAAATGCTGTAAAATCCTGTGTTAAACTCCGGGCCGCCCGGCGGCCCAGCCTCTGTCCAGCAGGGATCCCCGGCGGCCCGGCCAGTTGGGTCCCCCTGTTTGATGCCGGGCGGGCCCAGCACATTTTTGCGCGGAGGGGCGGGGAGGCCTTTTTCAATGATTTTTCGCGCTTGGGAGCCTCCCCGCCCCCCCGCGCAAGTTCTTCCGCCGACTGCACATTTGTTCGGGCAGCCTTCGAATTCGAGTGTCAAGTTCCTGCTGCCCGTCGAAGTGGTCTCGTTGCTGCCCGCTGAAGAGTTTCCCGTCGCTGCCCGCCTTCGCCGAGGTGCCCATCGTCAATGGCCGTCGTCGCTGCCCGTTTCCCAGCTCGTCGTCACTGCCCGCCGTCGGCAAGCTGCCCCATCGTCGTCGATACGGTACCGTTGCCCGAACTGCCACGTGTCAGGCTCTCTCTCTCTCTCTCTCTCTCTCTCTCTCTCTCTCTCTCTCTCTCTCTCTCTCTCTCTCTCTCTCTCTCTCTCTCTCTC